ATCTGAACTTACATATTTGCACTAAACTGTACCTGTCCTTGTTTTAGTTATTTTTATTATAGCTACACTGTTACTTTCAATAGTTCTCCTAACAGTCAATGAACAAGTCTGTATTTATTTTCCGTTAAGTAGTATGCTTTGGGTGGTTCACATTCAAGCCCTCCTATTTCCAATATGTTCATACTAACCAAAAAAATTCTTAGAAGAAAAAAAAAAGATTTTATTGATACTAGTAGTTTCCAGTGGCCAAAATCTGATATTTTTCCCCTTTGTTCAAATCAGCGTGTGACATTTTGGCAGAAATATATTCTAATTTCTGCAGAAATATCAAAGAACTATGATATTTGGCATTTAGCTCCAGAAATAAAACCAGCAGAGGGAGCATAAGAACATAAAATTAGTTTTCTAAATCCCTATGGATTAGTAAGTGCCATGTTTTGGCCTCTGGGTATGGCTATTAGGCAGATTCCATCACTAACTCACATTTTTATATGACCTTCTGTACTGTAACAGAGGGTGATGGGTGAATGGCTGACTCCATACACATACTGAAGACTTGTCTGCTGTTGAGTTTGGATCTGGAGTAATTAGATCCCCAAGATCACTCTTTAATGGATCTAGGTTCATCTTAAGGTCTTTGTTTGGGGGGTAAGGGAGTCAGGAGGTTAAAACTAACTCTCCATTCACAGCCCCTTTCTCCAGAATTGTGTCCGGCTGAGTTTGGGACCTCCCAGGGCCCAGATGGACTTACTGCATAGGAAGAGCTCAACAATGTTTGCATCATCGTGGAATCTCTCAGATGCCCTTGTTTTAGCTTTAAATGAATGACCTGTGCTGTAGCCAGACTGGAGATGGGTAGATACTACTGTCTAGGAATAATAACAAATTAGATAGGTGACCTGCTACATTTATTTGCCTTCGTGTTAGATAACAACCTTTCCGGGCTACGTCCTGTCTTCCTCAAAGATATTTCATGATGAAATCATGTGAAAATATTTTACATTCTTTCAGAAAGATAAGATACAATATCGGGTAGTATTTTATATTGGAACGAATCCGGAAGACATGAAATCCTTGGGCCACCTTTTCACCTCACAGCAGTAAGAAGCAGCTACTTGTCCCTTTCCTGACCCAGAGGCAGCAGTACAGAACTCGGGGAATTCCTATCGGTGCTCTGGGCAACGCCTGACTTCTAAGGAGCCAGAAGGTCAAGCTGAAAGCCACCTCTGCCTCAGCCAAATCTGGGAACTCTCCAGCCTATCACGGCCTCTAAAATTTTACCGCACGTCTATCCACTCCCCGCTCTCCCATCACCATATCCACGCTGCGAGGGACAGTTTCCTACTAGCTCTCCCATCACACTCTCTGCTCTACTACCAGAGCAATCTTTTAAATCCGATCAGGTTAACTTTTTGCTTAAAACTCTTTCACCGTTTTCCCCTGATGTCAGGATAATGCTCTCAGTGATCTGAACTGACTCTCACTTCCTTTCTGGCTGACACCCACCACCCACATACTCAGTGTTCCAGCCAAAAAGAGTAACTAGGCGCTCCCAAGAGAGCCACGCTTTTTGCAAATCCCCAGGCCTTGGATTACGCTGGTTTGTTCTGCCTGCCCTGCTCTCCCTACTTCTCTTTCATGAACTCAACACTTACTCCTCCGCCACAATCTTAGGTCAAAGTCATATCTTCCCCCCCACCCCCCGGGGGGAGACCTTCCCTGACCAACTCCCACGCCCATCCCCGCAACGCGACCGTTCTGTGTTCTTGGACATGCTTGGTGCTGCTCCCGTGTCCCATACGCTCCTCCACACACCCCGGCCCTCAGGCACTATAATTACTGTTTAGCTTCTGTCTCGCTCACTGGGCTGTGAGGAATTCGAGAACAATGACTATGCCTTTTCTTTTTCTTTTTTTTTTTTTTTTAAGCAGAGGTCTTCTTAGAAGCCCATATGATTTTAAATTTATTTATTTATTTATTTATTTATGGCTGTGTTGGGTCTTCGTTTCTGTGCGAGGGCTTTCTCTAGTGTGGCAAGCGGGGGTCCCTCTTCATCGCGGTGTGCGGGCCTCTCACTGTCGTGGCCTCTCTTGTTGCGGAGCACAGGCTCCAGACGCGCAGGCTCAGTAGTTGTGGCTCACAGGGAAGCCCTATGCCTTTTCTTTCTGACTGGGAGTAGTGGCCGAGGTCAACCAGGGAGAGCCCAGGAGGTGAAGAGACAAGGGTCCCAGGCAGAACCCACCAAGACGACCCCAAAGGAGAGGAGAAAGAGCAGTCAGAGACTTCAATGTGGGAGGAAATGTGTTATAGAAGCCAATCGAGGGCAGTCACAGCAGGAAGGAATGGCCACAATGTAAAACGCTACCATGAGGTTAAACAGGACAGAGTTTAAAACATGTCTGGGCTTCCCTGGTGGCGCAGTGCTTGAGAGTCCGCCTGCCGATGCAGGGGACACGGGTTCGTGCCGCGGAGCGGCTGGGCCCGTGACCCATGGCCACTGAGCCTGCGCGTCCGGAGCCTGTGCTCTGCAACGGGAGAGGCCACAACAGTGAGAGGCCCGCGTACCGCAAAAAAACAACCACCAAAAACACATGTCAACTGGATTTAGCTACCAGCAGGCCACTGGCCACCTCGGGGAGAGCAGTGTGAGAGGAGTGATAGAGACGAGCCAAATTGCAGGTGGCCGGAAAGCCAACGGGAGGGAAGAATGCGAAACGGCTGGGAAAATGATAACTTTTTTAAGACGCGTTGCTAACTGCGACAACGTGAAGGTATTACTCTAGGTGAAATAACCCGGTCACAGAACAGCAAATACTGCACAATTCCCCTCATATGCAGTGCACAGAGACAGAAAGCAGAATGGTGGTTGCCAGGGGCTGGGGGGAGGGGGTTACATGGGCACAGAGTTTCTGTTCTGCAAGATGAAGAATGTTCTGGAGATGGATGGTGGTGATCAGTGCACAACAATGTGAATGTACTTAATGCCACTGAATTGAACACAAAAATGGACAAAAGCATCAATTTTAGGTTGTGTACATTTTACTGCAATTGAAAAACAAAGGAAAAAAGTGGCACTGCTGTGAAGAAAATAAGATGGGATCAGAGGGGTTTTGTTTGTTTTTAACAGAGGCAAGGAACTCAGTATGTTAGAAACTTGAGAAGAGTTGGTCCAAAGCGAGACCAAAAAATTAACTTTCCATGTGGAGACCCCCAGGAGGATGAGTCTGGGGCCAAGGACAGCACGAGGCGGGAGGGCAAGCGATGAGGAGAAAGCGAAGGAAAAGCTTGCTTGTTGGGGAGGGAAGATGGGGTGGCCAAGAAATAAACATTTTTAAAAAGCTTGTATTTGATAACCTCTGTTTTTCTTTGAAGGAGGCCTAGGGAGAGCGGGGAAGGTCTGAAAAAGCTGCTGAGGGACTGAGAGAAGGAGCATACTGTGTACGAAGACTTAGAGCCGGGTTACGTGAGGGGCTGTGAGGCAACTCCTGAGCCTGGACTGGAATGACGACTCTGCACTGGGGACGATGAGCTGAGGCTCGTGCTGTGACCCCAAACCCGAGTGCAGACTCCGCGGCTGAGTGTGCAGGAGAGACGTGGATACTCTGAACCACAGGTGAAATTTACCAACAAGGAGGAACAAGGGGGCCTGAACTAAGAATGCAGGGAAACGTGTGGCTGAAGCGATGGAGAGGAAGGGAAGATGGGGCAGAGATGCTGGGCAGTGAGGGATCAAGGGAAGGACTCCTCAACAAGGGCAAGAACAAGTGCAGGTGGAGTTAAGGGCTTAGGGAAGCCAAGGATTAGGAGACTGAACTCAGCAGTGAAACAGTCCTGACCTGAGATAGTTTCAGGTCCCCACCAGGCCAGGCTTGGTCAGAGTGTAGGTGGCTAAAAAGAGAAATCCAATCAGGAAAGACCTGGGTTCTATCCACAGGGGAGATTTCCATGTGCTCTTCCTGCCTCAGGTGTAGATAATTAAGATGATCTTTTATGAATCTTTCCCCTGGATTCAATTTTCTCTTTATTGCATTGCTCTTTTTCCCTTTAGGAACTCCCTTATGAGCTAGATACTATCCCATTTTATATCCTCATTCACCTACTTTTGTTCTTATATGACGTCTAAACTCAAATATTAACCTTGTTCTATACTGAATCATGGGCTGGTAAACTGCAGAAGACACAAAAGCCCATTAAGAACCAGGAAAACAGGCAGTTATTCATTCTCCAGGGTCAACATCACATGTTAAAAATACTAGTAAAAAATTAGTCATCATCATTTACTCAAGTCTTTCAAAGGTTAAGTGTGGATACAGTCTGTCACCTTGCTTAAATGACCTTGAGCAGACCAGTAACATAAAGGGGGCCTTGAAAAGAGCCCCAGAGGAAGGAAAATTAAAGAGGAACTTGTACCTTTTTATGTAGGCTAGCTACCCATGACAAATCTATTTTTCATTTCATTTGTCTTGGAAGTAGGAGTCTGTCTTGCATACCATTTTCTCGCTCCAAGGATGGCAAGGACAGACCGAGGCAGCTGTCCTTCTGTCCAACTGTTTGTGCAGTTGCCACACAGCCTCAAACAATGTCTCATTAACATATGCAAACAAGGGCTTTCTCCAGCGTAGCATGACAAAGAACCACATCACCACCATTTTTGAAATAGACTGTTTGCTCTTTTGTTTGACTGATGGAGAAAATTTCTGACAATGTATCTTACTGAACCATTCTTACTGAACCATTCTGAAATCACTCACACGCATCACGTGTATCTTTGCACAAGCCCAGATTGTACCTCGTCACTTGCACACCACATCTTGTGAACATCAGAACATGCAGCGGGCGATAGGTCACTGTGAGAGCAGCACATGGAGGGTCTGCTTTCAATCCCACCTGTATGTCCTCTGAATGTCGTGACCAGGGTGCAGTTTTCTTGCTCCAGTTTGAGGATGGTTACTTGGCCTGAGTGGTCACCAATGAACACATGCCGGGTTTCAACATCAAATCTATCATGTAAGCATTAAGGATCGTTTCTCAAAAGTGAGTGGATGGTTTACCCCCCTCTCTCCACACACACACCGCGCAAATCTCACGGGAGGAGAACTTGAATATAATGCTGAAAGACACAAAAAGTGGACATAACAAGATGAAAGACATTACTTACTGGACGGTAAGACTCAACATGATAAACATGTCAATTTTCACAACATGAATTTATGAATTTAATATAATCCCTATAAAAGTATCAACATGTGGGTTTTTTTCCTACAGTTAGGTATGTTCATTCTAAAGTTCACATAGAAAAATCAATAAGCAAGAAGAGCCAGGAATATTCTGAAAATAAGAGTAATATGGTACTGTGATGGGGGAGGTTAGCCCTACCAGATATTAAAACATGTTATAAAGTCTCTTTAATTCAAAGTGTGGTGCTTAGACAAACAGACCAATGGAACAGAAAAGAAAGTCTAGAAATAGGCCCCAAAGCATGCAGAAATTTAGTACATATCCGATAAAGGTGGCTTTTCAAATGAATAAGGAAAAGAAGGGCGAAAAGAAAAGTTGGCACAAACTGAACCAGTCATTTGGGAAAATAAAACAGGATTTGTACTTCACTTTATACCAGGAAGAACTCCAATGTAAAAAATGAAAAATAGAAGTTCTAGATGGGAGAGTTCCTTTATAACCTTGGAGTGGAAAAAGCTATGACTCAAATACACAAACAACAAACAAATGCCATAAGCAAAGCACAAGACAAATTGGAAAAAATATTTGCAACTGATGTCACAAAAGGCCCGAATACTAATATAAAAAGAGCAATCCAGAAGATTACGAACCTAATAAAAAACAGGCAAGATACATGAATGGATGGTTCAAGAAATGACAGTGGTGCTTTGCAAAAAAAAAAAAAAAATTAACCTAGCAGGCTATCCTTTGAAAGGCTGCTGTTACAAGATTGGCGTGGCATCTGGGAACTTGGATTTCAGGAGGGTTCCCACCGTTAACAGACAAAAGTGGCTGACTGTGCCTTAACTGTACAAACAATATGGTTTATGCTAAACACCTGCTTTCCTTCTGCCAGTCTGGTTTTTTTTTTTTCTTTTGGTCACTCCACGCGGCATGTGGGATCTTAGTTCCCTGATCAGGGATCGAAACCTTGTCCCCTGCAGTGGAAGCACAGTCTTAAGCACTGGACACCAGGGAAGTCCTCCTTATGGGAGTCTGGAATTTTGGTACATGCAGGAAGAGGGTGCCTGTGTGACCAGTCAGTCTCCAGTAACTACCCAAGGCCCTGAGTCTCTAGTGAGCTTCCCTGGTTGGTAATGCCTAGCAATCGTACTTGTAGAGATCTACCCCAGAGGCACAATGGCCAAAATGTGAATTGACACATGCCTGAAGCTATTCACTCCGTATTACAGTAAGAGCTAAAGTTTGAAAACAACCCAAAAGTCCATCAAAAGAGGACTTATTAACTATGATACATCCATGCAAAAGAATACTACACAGCTGGGAAATTTGACATGGAGTAATTTCCAGGATATATTATTTTATATATATATATATATTTTAAATAGAGACTTAGATGTTACAGCCTTAATAGCCTTCTGTTAACTTTATATTTATTATTATTTTAAAAAAATTTTGGCTGCACCCCACGACATGTGTGATCTTAGATCCCTGACCAGGGATCGAACCTGCACCCCTGCACTGGAAGCACGGAGTCCTAACCCCTGGACCACCAGGGAAGTCCCTCCAGGATATATTATTAAGTGTGTGTGTGGGAAAGCCAAGGTTTATGCAAGTTTATATGCTACACTAACTTCGTGTAAGAAAGAGGGAAACATAAATATAAGTGTGTGTGTGTGCTTATATTTACAAAAGGAAGCACTTTGATAAATCAAGATTGATCAAAAATGGCTGCCAATGTTAAAGTGAGAAACAAGCTGACGGGAAAGGGGTGGTAGTGAGACTTCTCTCTCATTACATTGTTTCCATTATGGAATCTTGTAATTATGTACATGTGAAAAATACTTATACATTTTTTTAAATCCCCTAAATCGACAACAAAGTAAAGTGAATAAACCTACTGTCAACTTGCTGATATAACCACAGAGTTAAAAGAATTATTTCAAGTGACTTTAAAACACAGCATTTTGACTCTACATTCTTGGTAGAATATATTCTCAGGACAAAGAAAGCTGCAAAAAAAAAATCTAAAATCTTATTCAGTAGTCTTGCTATTATAATATTGCTATTACTATTTCAAACAACTTAAATATACCATGGGATAAAGCAAATAAAGAATTATGCTGATGTTTAGGAACAAAGGTTTTTAGTCCAAAAGAATCAAGTACAGAAATGACGTAAAGGGGCTTCCCTGGTGGCGCAGCGGTTGAGAGTCCGCCTGCCGATGCAGGGCACACGGGTTCGTGCCCTGATCCGGGAAGATCCTAGATGCCGCAGAGCGGCTGGGCCCGTGAGCCATGGCCGCTGAGCCTGCGCATCCGGGGCCTGTGCTCCGCAACGGGAGAGGCCACAGCAGTGAGAGGCCCGCGTACCGCAAAAAAAAAAAAAAAAAAAAGAAGTATGCTATAATGTTAAATTTGAATTAGAAATATTATGTGAACTAATCATTTATTTTCTTTTTTTAAATACACATACATATATTTGCTAGCTATCTCTGAATACTATTCCTAAGAGAAATGGCCAATTCCAGGACTGGGACAGGAAGGTACCAGATGAGCTTAAGACATGTCGTGTCAAAAGGCAAAGATGCTATCAAAGGCTAGTGGGGCTGTATCAAAAAGACATAGCAGCCAACATGATGTGGCTCTTACTGGCCAAAGATGGGACAATATGAGCATCAAAAAAAGGGGGGGTGCAATTTACTGAAATATACTGAATATATTATTAAAAAACAAAACCCTAAGAGTTTATAATAATGCTCAAAGCCAGAGTGATTGGCATTTAGTATGATATGAGGAAATATGGAAATCAGGATAATCTTAATAGCTTTTCAGTACTCTTTCCACAAATAGGAATAGATAGAAGAACGCTTGGTGGAAAGGCATTTGACTATATAGGGTGACATCTTGGAAATATCTCCAACAGGAATAAATTCTTAAAATGAAGAGTACCTGAATTAGTTTTGTGGAAGCATGAAAAATGTGACCAAAACTTGGTCAAGTGACAGACTGAAAGGTGTGGCTAGGTAAAGTATTCACAAAAATAAAGACCAGCAATTGAAGTGGGGAAAGGAAAACAGTTCTATTTCCTACATCAGCCTGCCATGGGACCTTTGGGAAATACCTCCGTTCTGCTATATCTAGTTGTGCAGAGGGCTAGCGCAAAGATTTTAATACCCTAGTTCTAATCCTGGTTCTGCCAGTTAACAGTCATGCGACCTTGAAAAGGTTTCTTATTCTTAATCTTTTTGAGCCTCTCTGAGGCTTTTCTACACGTGAAAATTGAGAATTAGGTCTTTATGTTTTGATAGTGAACAAAGTAACATTATGTAGAAGTACTATGTAAACTCTCAGGGACCGCAAAGGTAAGATATTTTCTTCTTTTTCCTCACCTTCACTTTCTTCCTATTGTTGTTGTTAACATGACAGTTCACTTAATATTCACTTAAATAGTTAAGTGAATATTAGTTCACTTAAAGCAACAAAGATTTTGAGGTGATTCCGAAATTGATAATTCAACTTGTGAACTAGTCAGTCTCTGTCATCCTTTATTTCTCTACTTGAATTTTGGTTACTTTCATTGTTTATTTACTTCTCTGCTAAGAGGCCTGAAAGAAGAGGAAAAAGGGTGATGTCAATCTGACTTATTCTATCACTTGTTGGCTTGACTATTTGAGGTGCAGATGGGAGAGAATCAATCCGTCTGTAGAAAATTCTTATGTACACCACCAGTGCCCACTATGAAGAGAAATAGGGGTCATAATATTATTCTGAACATTTTATGTTATTTTAACAGATCTTCTTCCTTTCCTTACCACTAAAAAACTGAAAAACCAAAAAGACCAAAAACCGGTAAGTACAGAAGGTGGCAGAACGAAGAGGAGGGGTGAGGTGATGGAGGAGGGTTCCCATGAAAAAAGCATGTTTAAAAACTGAATTTTAACGTGAATCCCAACACTGTATGGGTTGCCCGTTAACAATCTATGCATCAGGCAGCTCCCAGAAAAAACCCTGCAGCCTTGGGAAAGTTGCGTGGGTCTCGGCTGCAAAAGCAGTGCTGTTATGCATGAGCATGCGGCACTGGGAAAATACCAGGCAGACAGATGCTCCCGGGTGCAAGGGCTGGCACTGTGGTTCCAGAATTGGAGCTAAGGAGGCAGAGCTGGTAGAGGTGAGGGAGTCTTCTGGAAGGGCCTCTCTGTCTGCAGTATTGCAGCTGCCTTCCACCTTAATAGCAAAGTTGGACTGGAGGGTCATTTGCACTGGGGAAGGAAGCCTGAGGCTTTCACTGCACACACAAGTTTCTGATAGCCAATCACATGTTTGTTTTCTGCTTGGTAAACCACATGGCAAAGAAGAGTCGAAAAATGAAGATGACTTTTGGAGATGCCGGAAGAGAGGAGTCAAAGACTATAAGAGTCAGGACAAGTTTAATTCTGTGTACTTGTGGGGTTTTTTGTTTTTTGTTTTCATTTTCAGATCGTTTAAAAAGTAAACTTCTTAAGGGCAAGATCTGTATTTTTTTCTATACTCCTTAGTTTGGTTAGGTGATACAGAAGATACCTCACTAGGCGTGGCTAGTGATATAGAAGCCAGCATGTTAAGAACAAATTATATTGATGCCATTAGTTCTGTTCTCAGAGGGATAATGCAGTATAATGGGAAAAACCAGCAGTCCAAGGCAGAAGACCTGGGTTCTGGTGGTGATTTTCCTACATACCAGCTGGGTGGCTGCAGATAAGGCATGTGACCCTCTCTGGGCTTCAGCTGGCTCACCTGTAAATGAGAAATTGGATGGATGATCTCTAAGGGAGATCCAATACTAACACTACAAGAAATCATTAATCCATTGGCAGGAGAGTTCATGTATTTCAATTCAAGCATTATGCTTGTCTGAACTGGCTTTTAGAAAGTAAACTTTGGAGTTTCTTTCTTTAAGCACCCTCTCAAAGATAAGTTGATCTTTTTTTTTTTTTTTGCGGTATGCGGGCCTCTCACTGTTGTGGCCTTTCGCGTTGCAGAGCACAGGCTCCGGACGCGCAGGCTCAGCGGCCATGGCTCACGGACCCAGCCGCTCTGCGGCATGCGGGATCTTCCCGGACTGGGGCACGAACCCGTGTCCCCTGCATCGGCAGGCGGACTCTCAACCACTGTGCCACCAGGGAAGCCCGATAAGTGATCTTGATTTCCATTCCTTGTCGCCCTTGCTTCTGGTCTTCTTGGTAACATGCCACTTTTACAGCCTTCCATATGGCCATTCTCAGTTTCTTCATCTTGCCCTTCCAGTTGGAAAATAAGAGTGACATTAGCCTAAACACACACACACACACACACACAACTACTGCCACATGTCTGCAAGGAAACAGCAAGGTGCAATACTTTGTCAGGTGGTTGCAAATCACTGAACAGGCATATAAATACTAGATGAAAATCTGAAAGCAAGTCTTACTGTTTCATCCTGTTTTTGCAGACAAGTGATCTGTTTATAACTATTTCCTCATCTGTCAGAAGGTGGAGAGATTCTACGCTTTTTAAAGAAGAAACTCAGGGTCCTTTACTCCTCAGAGTGGTAGCATCACCAGTGCAGGCTTCTCACTTGTCAGGCCTGTGTTCACTGGAGCCCAGGGGGCTGGATGTGAGGATTACCCAGCATTGGCAGGTGTTCACACTGAGCACATGGACCCTGGAGACTTGAGAGATAAGAGTTAATATCGTTCTACATATCCTGGAAAAGTCTGGTACCTGGAACAAAGACTGCGTAGCATTACTGTGTAGATACCAGTCAGCCTGCTCTGGTCCTGGCATGGTGGCCTCTCAATAAATATTCTTAAAATGAATAGGAATCCTGTGGTTCTTCTGCCAGGCACCAAAATGGGAATGTTTCCAACCTTAATACCTATGTGTAAATTATTTCTGTTCAAAAATAAAAGACTGTATTTCAGTGACAGTTTTATCTCCACGTTCCATAATTCTTTCTGACAGCTGAGGCTCACAAATCTGGGCTGTGTACTGTCTGGATGTCAGACTTTGTATCACAGCAGACCCACAACCTGCTCGGCAGTAACTTATTTCAGGTGAAATTACTTTACTCCACCTACATGAGGACCCTTGATGATTTATGTGTTAGGAAAGTTTATAAGCACTTTTTTTTTTTCTTGCGGTATGCGGGCCTCTCACTGCCGTGGCCTCTCCTGTTGCAGAGCACAGGCTCCGGACGCTCAGGCTCAGCGGCCATGGCTCACGGGCCTAGCTGTTCCGCGGCATGTGGGATCCTCCCGGACCAGGGCACGAACCCGTGTCCCCTGCATCGGCAGGCGAACTCCCAACCACTGCACCACCAGGGAAGTCCAGTTTATAAGCATCTTAATCAGTAGGGCAACTAGCAAATAAAACAAGAAACTTTCAAGCTGCACATACCCAAAATGTTCATGAAAGAAAGAAGTCAACAGCTAAGTTCCCACCAAGGGATTTTGTCCAGCAAAGGATACTGCAGGCCTGAGGCCACAGCACTGGTGCGATAACCTCCCAGGCGTTGCCCACTCTCAGAGCAGTGCCAGGCAAATTGCTTGTCCTGTCCCGTGCTCAGCACCCACTCCAGCTCCAGGACAAACAGGATCATCGTCACTCTGCTCTGATGCGCTAAAAGCCAAGAGACAAGAAAACAACCCATAAAGCATCCTAAAAGAGGCTGGTAAAGCATGGTCCACAGAGGTGCATCATTCTCTCCTCCCCACCCCAGAGTAAGCTGAATAGTATATAATCATTACAAACAAGGGCTAGAACAGTGGTTCTCATCAGGGGGACAGGCATGCCCCTGGAGAAGACCACATCCGCGTTTCCATAAGAAAATTTTCCCCAACCACTTCCGTGGCGGTCCAGTGGTTAAGATTCCATGCTTCCAACGCAGGGGATGTGGGTTCGATCCCTGGTTGGGGAATTAAGATCCCACATGCCACGTGGCGTGGCCAAAAAAATAATTAATTATTTTTTTAAAAAAGAAAGAAAATTTTCCTAACACCCAAAGGGCCTGGACCACCTCTCTCAGACATGTTAGAACTGCTGGACTAGAGAAAGGCAGGTCAGTGTGACTACAAAACACATTAGGAACAACGTTCTGCTAATAAATTCACTGGTGTCTGTTTATTTAAGCTTTAAAAAAAGCAAAGAGCATTACTGTTCTCCTTTTGATGAAGGCTTGCTTTTAAATCCACAACAAAATTCTAGATGAATTTTCTGTGAGAAATCAAATGTTTGGAGCTTGGAGAGGAGGGCAGAATTATTCCCAAGTGCCATATAAAAAAGAATGAAATATCCCTTACGTCAAAGCATACATAATGAGATAATGAGAGCAAATTTCCCAGGGTTGCTTATATACAAGGACAACACCATCACGGAAGTACTGCATCACACAATTTCAGAGTTAGAAGAACTATTCATGTCATCTACTCCATCTCCCTATTTTACACGTGGGCAAACCGAGGCATGATCGAGTTGAGTAGTTTGGCCAGTCTCATGGCTTCTCAATTACCAAATAAAATCAGTAAAATATTCGCTTTCTTCCTCTTACACAATTCCAGGGGGAGAGGTATAGGGGGTCCACGGCCACTGAACAGAGCTGCCTGGAATAAACAAAGATTGATATCCCAGAACTTGGACCCACTGGGCTCTGTGCCCAGGAGCTGGCAGCCTGGTGGGTGAGAGGAGACTCATCCTGTGTGTGACGAGGTGACAGAGAAGCCACCAGCTTCCCATTTGGATCATGAAAATAGGACTGGACATGGATGGATCAATGCAGCTCTATCAGCAATAACAGCATCACTGCCAATCTCTGAGTGTCTAACAAGTGCCAGGTACTTAAAGATATTGTCTCACTTAGTCATTGTAATGACTCTGCAAAGCTGGGTGTTTTCCTCCTTTTACAGACACAACCCAGCCTTGCCAAGATGGCGCTTCTAGACTGGCTAACAAACAATACAGTCCGAACCATAGTGAATACCTCCGGGACAGACATTTCACCAAATGCCTGATGTTTTAAAATCCTATATTTGGCGCTTGGAGAATCTAAAGGGATTGAGAAGGGGTATAGAAACAATAATACTGTTAACAATAATATCTGCCTTTCAGAGACTCGGCCACCATCAAGATCAAAACATTGTCTTAAACTAAAAGATGGGACTTCCTGGAGAAACTTCTGAAGATCTTGTCATGTCTGTGTCATCAAATGCCCAATTTAAGTTCCACCAATGGTGGAATAAAAGTGAACTCTCTAATGGTTCACTTTCAACTGTACCCACGTCTATTGCAGGCAGAAAGTGGTCCCCAGCGCTTCGCTCCCTTTTCTCATGAAGGGGCCTTTGATCTTTCTGTTACTTTGTAAGTCCAAGGGGTTGACAGTAGCCCAGAAGATAAGGGGGTTTACAGCCCTCTGAGCTGCCAGAGGAGGAGACAGAGGCTCAAAAATGTTACGTGACTTGCTCAAAGCTACATAATCAATGAGTGATGAGGCTAGAATTAAAACCCTAGTCTCTCTGCCAAAGTTGGTTCTCTTTCTCTGTCAGGCTGCCTATGACTACTGAAAAGACAAACAAAAACAAACAAAAGACAAACCCTAAAACTCAAAGCACATAATCTTTCTAAGGTGACAGAATTCTCTTATTCAAAAAGAAACCCTTTGAAGATACATACGTATTGTTAAGCTTCAGGAACCTGGGCTTGAAGCCTGGCTGTACTTCTTAAATAGGAGCCATGACCTTGATCTTACGGAGGAAGCATCCAGTTTCTCACAATTAAGTACAGTTGACTCTTGAACAATGCACATTTGAACCGCGTGGGTCCACTTATACGCAGATGTTTTTCAACAGTAAATACTACAGTACTACATGATCCAAGGTTGGTTGAATCCGCGGATGTGGAGGAACCGTGACACAGAGGAACCTCGATATGGAGGAACTGCGGATACAGAGGCCCGATATAAATTATACATGGATTATCCACTGTGGGGAGGGTTGGTACCCTTTACCACTGCATTATTCAAGGGTCAACTGTATGATGTTAGCTATAGTTTTTTTTTGTTTGTTTTTGTTTTTTTTGTTTTGTGGTACTCGGGCCTCTCACTGCTGTCGCCTCTCCCGTTGCGGAGCACAGGCCCTGCGGCCATGGCTCACAGGCCTAGCCGCTCCACGGCATGTGGGATCCTCCTGGACCGGGGCACGAACCCGCGTCCCCTGCATCAGCAGGCGGACTCTCAACCACTGCGCCACCAGGGAAGCCCAGCTATAGTTTTTCATAGACGTTTCTCTCTCAAGTTGAGGAAGTTCCCCTCTATTTGTAATTTGCTGAGAGTTTTTATCATGAATGGGTGTCAGATTTTATCAAATGTTTCTTCTGCGTCAATTAATATGATCACATGATTTTTCTTCTTTAGTCTTTTGATGTGATGGGTTACACTGATTTTCAAAAGTTGAACCAGCTTTGCATATCTGGAATAAACCCCACTTGGTCATCGTGTATAATTCTTTTCATACATTGTTGGATTTGCTAGTATTTTTTTGAAGATTTTTACATCTAAGCTCATGAGAGATATTGGGTTGTAGTTTTCCTTTCTTGTAATGTCTTTGTCTGGTTTTGGTATCACTGACCTTTTAAAAAATGTTAATTGAGATAAAGTTCACATAATATAAAATTCACCATTTAAACCATGTTAAGAGTGTATAATTCACTGATCTTTAGTATATTTACAACGTTGTGCAATCATCATAGAAAATGTACTATTTCCAGAAAGTTCCATCACCTCAAAAAGAAACCCATACCCTCCACTCCCCCTTCCCCATCCCTGGGTAACCACTAATTTACTTTCTGTCTCTATGGATTCTCCTATTCTTGACATTTCATATAACTGTAACCATACAATGTATGGTTTTTTGTGTCTAGTTTCTTTCACTTAGCATGTTTTCAAGATTCATCCACATTGTAGCAGGTATCAGTACTTCATTCCCTTTTTATGGCCAAATAAGAATTCACTGTATTGATACACTACATTTTGTTTATCCATTCATTCATACATGAACATTTAGGTTGTTTCCACTTTTTGGCTATTGTGAATAATGCTGCTATACATAAGGGTATAAAAATATCTGTCCCTGCTTTCATTTCTTTTGGGAATAAACCTCACTTGGTTGTGACGTACTTACCTTTTTATATACTGCTGAATTTGATCTGCTGAAATTTTGTGTAGATGTTTTTGCATCTATTTTCACGGGGGATGCATAGATACTATGCATGTCTTGTTCACTATTATAATTCTCAGTTATTGGGACACAATAGGTACTCAATAAATGCTGGATAAGTGATATGTGAAAAAAAATTAAAGAATAAATCCATAGGGAAATGAATTTTGGCTCAAAATCTAGAAATAAAGAACTCAATGCTTAGAATTTTCCAAAATCAGGAGGAGCTGCTATGTCTTTGGAGGGTATCAGAGGAGAGGCTGGATGATCATGAATGAGGTCACGAGATTTGGAAGAAATGACGTCTAAGTGAAATGACGTCTACCTCTAATGTTCTGACCCCTGACATTGGCCTGGATGAAAAAAATCGTCAGTGAAAATTGCTCCTGATCTATACTATATAAAGGGCTTACAGTACACTGCCAATGTTGAAGACACAATAAAACCTGAATTCCTTCCCTTAGACAATATGAACACTTTCAGCCTTTTAAAATATTTACCCAAAAATGAAATGAGCTCCATGGAAAGCCAACCCTGGATCCCGCTCTCCAAGTCTTCTGCAGGGTTTCCAGGCAGTGGGGCGGAGCGGGCAGACAAAGGACAAAGGCTGTACGTTCTGGAGTCACACAGACCAAAGTGTGGTCTGGCTTCACACTTTACCAGCTACAAGACCACACGCCCAATCTCTTTGGGCCTCTGCTTCTTAATTCAAAAATGGGGATAATATTCACCACAAAGCGTTGCTGTTTTGTTCCCGCTGACTGCTGTAAAGTTAAGTCCTCTCTTGTGGCAGTGGAAGCCACTGAGAAACATTTCACGGTCTAAGACAATGAAAACACTGCTCTCGTTCCTACCTTGATAGTTTTTCACAGGAGTCATCTTGTTATAATCTTCTGATAGAAGAAACTCCTGCAAAAGAGAAGCAAAATATTAAGCAAAAAGAAATTCTGTAAGTGGATAAATATGTTTTGGTAAAACCGGACTGTATGAAGCAAAC